TACCATCCCCATACCATTCCCATACCACCCAAGGTATCCCCATACCAGCCCCATACCATCCCCATACCACCCCATACCATTCCCATACCATTCCACATATCTATTCAGACGTGCGGCTACATAGATATACATCCATACTATGCTATGATACTAAAGTTAGCAAGTGCAACAAACCCAAGAAGCACAAACAAAAACTTTCAGCCAAGGCTGACCTTTCTTAATTCAAAAGCCAGAGAAAGGTTGCGTCGCCAAGAAGCACAAAAGGTGCAGTTATATCTCTTAAAGTCGGCTTTGCACGCTTGCAACAACCAAAATGGCGCTTGCTCACAGTTTAATCACAGATATTTGCAATCACCATTCTTCAAAATCTGCCTTTTGCATTTCATAGCACAACAAACTCAAAAAACATAATTTTAGAAACACTAAAAACAAGTTTTTTGGAACTTACAAAAATTATGAAATAGTTTTTGTAGATTTTGTAACCATACTTATAATCAACTACAAATTCAAAAGTGACACCTAAGTAGGCGTTGAACACCAGAATTTGGAACGTTATCCAGCCACCTCTGTTGATTTCATTGATTCAATTTGTTGTGGTCGTTCGCGTGAGATTGCGCCTGCTCGGTGCTGACTGACACGAAGTCACTTGCTATGCCTGGCGTGTAAGTGCAACGATGTCAGAGTCAAAATTATGTGACTCCATGAAAGCAATGAGCGAGACGGTACAGTTCAGAGAGCCATGAAATGAAATAATATAGGCGCCTATAGGAGCGTGGCAGCAAATGAAACGTGTTCGATCAAACTTATGGTAACCGTGTTTTCAGAAAAAGTCTCCCAACTCCAAGGCATCTGGGATGGAGGACGTTTTTTCGCGAATAGCTTGAACATCTGAGCTACTAGGTGGAGGCTAGGTTGGAGGCCATCGCTACTACTAGTAACAAGACCTTCAGACATGACCATGATCCAGGCGAATCCACAGGCCTTGCCCCCTGGCCCCTTTCGTGATCCAATAGAACAGAGGCTAGCGAACACGGGCTAGCGCCCACGTGGAGATGGGTGGATCAAATGAACAAACATGAACAATATGAAATATTATGAGTTACATCAACTAAGCAAGCAACCGTGCCAGTTCAAGGCATGTCTTTCACTGTGGAGTGAGGCTTGTTGACCATCGGAGTACCGTCTACCAAGACCTTGCTGACCCAGAGAGCCCGTGGCCTCTCCATCCTTCCCTCACATTCCTCTTTGACACAAATCTTCAGGCCCCGGTGAATAGGCCATGGATTGTAAAACCATTTGGCGTTGCTCGAAACAAACTCGAGCCGCAGGCTGTTGTCAGCCTCAGCTTCAGAAGGATCTCGACAATATTGCTATGGGATAGGGCCGGTTTTGGTTCAGCCGGGCACTGGAAACGCACCTATTCAGTCTACACCGCGGCAAATCGGCCGTCATCATCTTGCGCATCAAATGGAAAGCCAATGATGACCAATGTAAGACAATCGCTGGTCCAAACTGCTGTCAGCATTCCTCTCCCAGGTTCTTTTTGGCGTTTGGGCCAAACACTCACGGAGCGAAGTAGCCAAGGTTATGAGCCAGTGGCACAAGGGTCAGGTGTTGGTCAGGGACCAAATTAAGATTCAAACCCAAAACGTTCCAAACTCATACCACTTAATCTAGCCTTGCAACTGGTAGACTTATCATCTT